AGAGCCGCCTCTGCTTTGGGCAGGGCCCGGCAGCGCCTGCTCCACAGGGAGCTGCCCGGGCAGGTAACTGGGAGCAAACCCAGGGAGACTGCAGAGCCCTGAGTTAAGCAAAAAGATGCCTTCCCACCCAGGCAAGGTCCTGGGAAAGCCCCCTGCCCCTGGCCCAGCAGTACCTGGAGATGCTCCTCAATGTCCTTCCTGTCGTAGGTGATCCCGCTGGGCGTGATGCAGGGCTCTCTCATCAGCTCAAAACTGATCTTCCCACACAGGTAGTCAGGGATGTCCCGCTTCTGGCTCGAGAGAGACACAGCTGGGTCAGCAAAGTGGGCTGGGAGGTGGTGCTGGCTCAGAGCGGGGAGCAGGGCACACAGCAGGTTTACAGCAGCACAGGCTCAGCCACACTCACCTTCCTCTTCTCATCCACTTGGGAGAAGAGCTCGTCCATGTCTGCCAGGTATTTGTCCTAAAAGAGAAGCCATTGAGGACAAGGGGTCTCTGGTGTGCAGGGGCTACAGGGCCCCAGGGAGGGCCCCAAAGCCTCCCACTGTGGGTGTTGGGGCAGGTCCTTGGTGGCCCCTCTGCCTGTGCAGCTCCTGGCTGAACCTGGCAGGAGTGATCCAGCTTACAAATAACCTTCCTTTGTGGGCCTATTTTTAACTGGGATTAGCCCCCAGCACCCAGACCCACATGTGGCTGAGAGGCACTTGTGTTTCCTCAGGGAACAACAGACACAGCAAGTGTCACCACTGCCAGGCTGGGACAAGAGGTGACAGAGCAGGGGAAGCCATCATGGGGGGACACGACAGCCCTGCAGTGGTGGCTCAAGCTATAGAATGAAGGCTACTGTGCTGTGTCCCAAGGTCTCCCACCTTTCACCTGCACAGCTGCAGCAGAGCATGAGGATGAGGATGGGGATGGGATGAGGAAGCCCCCAGCCCCCCACTCACGTGTTTGGCCTCGATGCTGGCCAGCTGAACACGGCTCCGGCTCTCGTCTGTGTTCTCCTCCTGCTGAGTCTTTCGGCACTCCGCCAGCTCCCTAGGACAGAGCGGGACATCAGCAGGATGGGGGACATTGTCACTCCCTTCCCTGCTGCAGGGACACCTCACACAGAGCTGTGACAGCCTGGTGGCACTCAAACAGCCTCTCCAGGAGCCCCAGTACCTCTCCTTCTCGGCCACGATCAGCTTGGTGAGGTGGGAGTGCAGCTCGTTCTCCTGGTTGATGCGCTTCTCCTCGATGCTGTTCCAGCGTTTCTTCTTGGCGATGCGCAGCGCGCTGGGGATGTCGTCCCCGAAATTCAGCCGCTGCTCCTTGGCCAGGTTGTAGGCTGAGCAGAGAAAGGGCACCTCAGCACCAACAGCAGCGTCCCCGTCACCCTCCCTGGCCCTTTCCCAGCAGACAGACAGACAGACAGGAGCAGGGGACAGTGGCAGCGTGCCCGCTCACCTCTCTGCAGGTTGGCGATGGCCTCGTCGTAGTTTTCCATCTCCATCTGGCACTGGCCCAGGAAGAAGTGAGCCTTCACCGACTGCCCGTCCAGCTCCAGCGCCCGCTTGCAGTCGGCCAGCGCCTTGTCGTGCTGCTGCATCTTCAGGTAGCACAGCGCCCGGTTGGTGTAGTACACGGCCACCAAGGGGTTCCGGTTCTGCGGGGACAGGCCCATGTTGGTGGCCAGGACGTGCTGGGTGACAGCCCGGTGACAGCCCGGTGACTCGGTGAGCCAGCGGCGTGGCACTGTCACCCTGGGCAGGGAGGGCCAGCAGTGCCAGGCGGGGCGTGCACCCCGTGGGGAGGTGCTGCCATGGATTGGGGACAGGCTGGGCTGGTCCCCATAGGGCAGCCCATGTCCCTGCCCCCAGAGGGGACTGTCCCCCTGGCACCCCGAGTGTCCCAGGGTGGCTCTGCCCTACCCAGCACAGCCCAGGCACAGGGCAGGGTTTGGGGGAAACAAGCTCAGGGTGGGGACATTCGAGGGGCTGGAGTTGGGTGGGGGACAGGATGGGCTTGAGAAAGGACCAGGGTCGGGGGGTGCCTAGGCCAAGCCCAGGAGGGGGGAAATCAGGCCCAGAGATGTGCCCGGACCCCCCAGGAGGAGCCAGGCCCAGTGAGGGAACAGTGTCCAGATTAAAAGGGTCTCATCTCAGGGGTATCTTGGCCAGGCCCTGAGGAAGAACAGTGCCCAGCCCAAGGGGGTTCCACCCCGGTGATACCCAGGCCAGAGCTGGGGACGGCAAGGCCCGGTGTGTGGCGGGGGTGTCCCTTCCCTGGGGACCCCACCCCAG